AAATCTTACACTGGGAAGGATAGTTTTTTGGTACGATGTCCTATGCTATAGAAACAGTTGATAGTTTCTTGCATTGTGAGTGCCCTAAGTTATCTCTAAGCATTTTTTTCATATTTTAATAGAAGAGAGAGAAAAATTAGCTCTTGATCAAAAGCTAGTCTCATACACATATTCTAAGATTATGTGAGAGTGTCATGTGGGGTTATCCATATTATAAATTATATGCTAAGAGTTGGTCCTATTGAATAAGTTGGCTTAGAGCTAGTAACTACTTCCTTCATCCCAAATTATAAGATGTTTGACTTTTTTTACTCTAAATTTGGTCACTCGTCTTATTAAAAAATTTGTGCAAACATAGTCAAATTTAAGTCATTTTTGAAGAACTTTTATTAATAAAGCAAGCTACGACAAAAGAAATGATATTTTGCACAAATTTTTAAATAAGACGAGTGGTCAAACTTGATGTCAAAAAAGTCAAACGTCTTATAATTTGATATGCAGAAAGTATTGCAGGTGCCCATGGGACAAAGGAAGTTGCATTTTTAGCGCATGGTTAAAATACACCAAGCACCTTTATTTCTTAGCTCCGCCATCGTGCACCATCATGTCTAGCTCCGTCACCGTGCTCATGCTTAGGCACACATGTCTAAAAGTGAAGCCTATGATCAGAGCTTATGCACCGGACATCAGACATCCCATCGATCAAACGGCTGGCTGTGCAATGTTCCAGTACGCCGACGATACGCTTCTAGTGCTGAAGGGAGACCCGGGAGCGGTTCAGAAGCTCAAGACAATATTAGATCTTTTCGCTGCTGCAACTGGCCTTACGATCAACTACAATAAGAGTTCGACAGTACCAATTCATATGGATGAAGTCTTGATCAATCAATGCATTGCTTCTTTGGGTTGTAAGAGAATCATTCCCGCAGAATTATCTGGGCTTGCCTCTGTCAGTCAACAAACTTCCAAATTCAGTCTTCCAAACTTATATTGACAGAATTCAGAGATCGCCTTCATCTTGACAGGCCAGTCTATTGAATACAATGGGCAGGGTTGTTCTTATCAACTCGGCTTTGGACAGCAAGCTTGTCTAAGTTATGTCATCCATGCAGGTCCCCCCGGGGTGCTGCATCAGATCGATAAGCTTAGAAGGGCCTTCCTGTGGGCCGGCGAACAGAACACCATTTCCTCCAAGTGCCTAGTTGCATGGGGAAATGGTTGCACAATAAAGGACCTCGGAGGATTGGGAATTAAAGATCTTGGAACTCACAACATCTGCCTCCTTATCAAACTAATTCATAGATTATACTGTGCAAACTCATCAGCTTGGGCAATCTGAATTCGGCAGAGAACAAACTTGGCATGCCTAAAGGGAAATTGCGTGGTCACCACTGGGAGGTGTTAAGATCCCTCTTACCTCTATATCAGGCCATCACAACTGTTACTTTGGGAAATGGAAAGTCCACTTCCTTCTGGAATGACGTCTGGTTTGGGGACGATGCAATCGCTGATCGTTTCCCGGCTCTATACACACACTGCACTCGAAAGGACGTCTCAGTCAGCGCAGTGAACTCCAATCTTCAGAATGCTTTTGTAAACAGGCTCACAACGCAAGCCGCGGTTGAACTTGGACAAGTCCAGCTGATCATACAACAAACAACGCTCGATGTAGATAGCGAAGACACAAGGCAGTCACCTTTCAGCTGCGGTCATGGCAAGCTCGATACTTCGGCAATTTATAAGCTGCTGAAGGCCTAGAGGACGGCTCTCCGACCCGCCTTCAGAGTTCATCTGGAACAACGCTTCGCCACCAAGGGTACAATTGTTCATTTGGCTTGTCATCAAGGGTAGAATTCAGTGCCGTGCGAATCTGTTTAAAAAGCAAGTCATTGACAGCCCGTCATGCACAATCTGTGGATCACCGCAAGAGACAACGGGACACCTCCTCTTCCAATGTGCAAAGGCTGCTGAATTCTGGGCATCTCTAGGTGTACCGGTCCCCCAAAATGCCTTTAGTACAAATGAAATTCCTTCTACAATCAAAGTCGGCGCAGTTCCGCAGCAGCAGCATAACATGTTCGTGGCTTTATGCTGCTGGCAGCTCTGGAAGCGAAGAAATGGTGCCGTCTTCCGTGATGAATTATCCTCCCTAAGACAGCTATTGATTGACTGCTCATCTGAAGCCAAGCAGTGGAAAGCAAGGCTGCCAAGAAGGCAGACTCGCTGATGCATGGTGTAGTTTGTTTCAGGGAGCTTTACAAGGATCTTTGTAATCCTTGATGTAAATTCCGAACCCTCAAATCCTCCTACATATGTAAGCTGCCAAAGCCAAATTGCAATGATTTTCAAATAAAATCAGGTGGGGAATTTCCCCCGATGAATTTTTTTAAAAAAGGTGAAGCCTATATGATTATTTTTACACATATTTTATCCTTTTAGTGATAGGCAATATGGCTATCTATGCTTATTTTTACATAAATCTTAAGATTTGTTGACTTGGTCTTTGTAAAGGTAGATTTAGGACGTGAATATTCATAGAAATAACTATGCGCAAGCATTTGAATCGTCTTTGTTCAAGTTTCGCAAAAAAAACAGGCAATACACCTTTGGATACCGCTCCTTTTGTCAACAGATAAGGGGTTTTAGTTTTGCCATAAATCAAACTTTCTTTTAACTAAGGTTATATAAAATTCATATTGACACGTAAAACAGAAGATAAATAGACATATTAATTCATATTGACACGTAAAATTCATAAGACATATATTCACAAAGGAAAAAAGAACTTCGCACCGCAGTGCAAAAGAAAAGGAAAATCAACCCGGCACATCGGGCAAGCCATATCCTGATATCCACACCTCCACAGGCAGAAGATCCTAATCGCCCTACATTTTTCTTTTTGTTACTCTCTCCGTAAAAAAAAGCAATCCTACAGTTCAAATTTTGTAAAAAAAAAATACAATCCTACAAGCCTGGTGCAGTGGTGCCGTCTCGTCCACACATTCCTGCCTTCTAGAATAATCCTGCATAGGTCAATTAACTATATACAAGGGCATTTTGGTAATTTCACTAACTGCCTTGATATACGCGTTTGGTCCCACAATTGCTTTATTTTTGACGGATGAGGTATTTTTCTTCTTTGTCCAGGGCACCGGGTTCAGCTCCAAAGCCCAGACCTTTCTCCGTCCTGTTCTTCCTAACCGCCGTAGGCCCCATTGAGCTGCTGCCCGCCTCCTCCAAAAAATAACTTCGGCTCTGACTTCTCTAAAGAGGTAGCTTCTTTGAAGGAGCTGAAGCTCTTTTGAAAAATATTTTGGCAAAATGGCTCCTCCTATTCTTCTGGAATTGATAATGATATGGCTTGGGCGTTCGTCCCGTGACTTCCCGTCCGGACTTGGCTCATCCTCATCCACTCACCCACGTCACTCGCGCGACTTCCTGTCCGGATCTCATGTCTCATCTTCATCCACTCGCCCACGTCGCTCGTGCGCGCTCTGTGCTGTGCGTCCCCGCTCGCGGTCGCAGGACAGATTTTGCCCGCGTTGCTCGCCGGCGCCGCCCTTGCCTGAGCTGCGCACCCCCGGCTCGTACTTGCGCCTCCCGTCGTGGCTGCGCTCCATCCACCTGCCACGACCACTGATGTGGTCCGTGCCGTCGACGAGCTCCGCGCACTCCATGGCATCGAGCTCTGCGCCGGTGTTGAGCTCCACAACGATGAGCTTCATTCGTCCAAAGAGCATGGTGACAATGCGCTTGCGCTAAAAGTGCATGTTGAAAGCGTATGTTTCAAGTGTTTCATATATCTTAGGGGTATGTTGTAAAGTTTTGTATGGATGTTGCAAAAGTAGGCCGGGATGTTGCTATGTTGCAATGGGTGTACACGTACGTTGCAAACGTCTGTTCCTAATGTTTCATCTGTTTTTTCAGACGTATGTTGCAAGTGTGTTTATCTGGATGTTGCATATGTTTTACATATAAGTTGCAAACGTTTTATCTGGATGTTGCGTATGTGTTGCAATTGTTTTCAAGTGTTTTTGCAAGTGTTTCATACACATGTTTTAAATGTTACATCTGTCTTCAAACGTATGTTGCAAGTGTTGTATCTGGATGTTTTAAAAGTAGATCGGGTGTTGCATTTTCCTCCTCGCTTTCAGCTGCCTTGCCTTGGTGTCTCCTCCTCGCCTTTCTGCTGCCTTGCATCCTTCTCAGACCGAGGAAGGGGCGCAGCGAGGGCCAGCGAAGAGGGTGCGCCGGGGGCCGACGAACGGGATGTGCGGGGGATTGTGGCGCGGAGGCGACCGCACGCTATCCTTTTTCGTTACGCGGGCAGATAGCGTTTTGGTCCCCTTTAGTTTTCTATTTTACGCGGGATGCTGAGATGGTCCCGTTGGTGGACTAGACGCCAGCCTATGATTCGGTAGGCTGGGACGTCCGGACGCTAGTTCCCCCTTCTACCAAAGATACCAAATGTCTAAAGTGTCCCCGTACACAATTTTGCATCAATTAATCAAAATATTGGTTATAATTAAGTCTAACATATTTTTTGAGATTAAGTTGAACATATTTAAAATATTTTTTAATAAGGAAAAAAAGAGAGGAAGACACCGTTTTGGGCCTAGGCCCATACGACCTGCATCATCTCTCTCCTCCGGTCCTCCCTTCCAAGACCGCTCGCGCGATTCTGCTCGCACAGGCCGCCGCCGCCACTCGCCACCCGGTGCCTGCGCCGCCATTCTCCCACGCTGTGCTTGCCCTCTCCCACGCCGCCGTCGCCCGCACTTGGTGCCTGCGTCGCCGCTCTCCCACGTCTTGCTTGCCCTCTCCCTCGCCGCCGCCGCTCCCACACAGCGCTCGCTCGCGCCGTCGCTCGCCCGTACAGCACCGCCGGCTCCAATACCCCGGCCTCCCCAGTCCAACCCAACGAGCGTGACCCTCGATTGCCTGAATCTGACGCCTCCGGGATCGGGCTACAGCTCGTCGGTGCCGACGGGGCCGGAGGAATGGCGTGGCGGATGCTGCGAAGGAAGGTAAGATGGAACGAATAACTGAGGGCTTAGCCTTTGCGCGTGCGGAGCCCCGATTTTCCCTTCGATTTTTCCATTCATAAGCTCTTGTGGCCTCCGTGCTGACGTCTGCTTATTGCAGGATTTTCACACGGGTCTTGTGAATTTGGCGTTCCGTAAGGATCATGGGGTCAAAAAGCATTTCTCCAGTGGAACAATCGGAAATCTGGCCCGTAAGTTGATCATAGTCTCGCTCTCATTGTCATTTTTCAGTGGAAATCTCTCATAAAGTTATGGATTGGAGTTACATCTGCTTTGGCTTCCAAAATGCAGAGGTCTACCACGGTGATAGGCCCAAACGTTCTGCTAGTTGTATGCCCTCTAACCATTTCACTATCAGGTACGTTTACATATGTGCTTTGCATGACTACCTATACATGTTCTGCAACTATTCAAGACATACCTGAAGCATCCAACACATGTATTTCAAATAATTGTTTGGTTCTATTAGAAAAGGGTTAAAGTGTGTTAGATCCATCAGAAATCGTCTCTGTGGACGGAACTTACTTTGACTTTATTGTTAATCTTCCAAACTTCTGAGTGGTGCCTGATGGCTGCAACCTTTGTATGCAACAATTTGCATCTCATATTGTTTGACCTTTCATGTGACCGCAAATTTAGAAAGTAAGTTGATGTGATACTCATCGGTGAAGCTCCTTTTTGTTCAAATTTCACACTTGATTTATATAGATGCTGTGTTGACACGTTGTATGCGACTACTAATATCTTATTTGGTGCTAGATAAGTATGTGAATTCCACCACACTTGTTAACACTGAAAACATGTCATGGTAGTGCTTCATATTTTGGTTTATCTCTGATTCTTAAAAATCATATATGTGACTGATGAGCACATGGATGTGAACTTTTGATTGTTTTAGACCATGAAGATTGTTGGGTGGTTTGAAGCTAACATCTCTCTAAAGAGAAAACTTAGAGGTAGATTGGATAAATGGACTTCAAGGCATGATGCTCTATTGTATTTTGAGCTGGCTTACATGGCATATTTTAAACATGAATATTTTTCTTGTCCTCTGATGATCAACCTTTGAGTTTATGATATAGGGTACTGTTCTGATTTAACAAATGTGGATCACAATGATTAACATTATGGTTGAACAAATGAACAATATATTTTCCTTGGTAACTACTCAATTCAGATTTCATAGTTTGCTCTTGTCTCATTCTTTATCCTTCTAGTCTCATTTATTTGTTTGTCTTTTGAAACAGTTGATGTTAATCGTTCAACATTGAAGTTTTGGCACCATTTTACTAGGATTCTTGCTACTGTTACTTTTATGTTGATTTCAGGTTTCATATGTCAGGTGACTATACCATCTTCTTTATAGGAATTTTCATGCAGGTGTTTATATGTTAGCATGGAGTCGGAAAAGGGAGGATGTTGTAGGTCTGAAAGCTCCCAAAAAGGAGAAGCGAGTGAAGAAAGAAAATAGAACGCAACCTCCTGTAGAAGCACCATATATTGCACCAAAACCGAAGACATCTATCAAATCATTACCAGATAAAACTGTCGAGATTTTTGATGGGATGACTTTGCTTGACCTTTCTAAACGAACTGGTGCATATATTAGTACACTTCAAGGCATACTTGCAGATCTTGGTGAAAAGGTTGAATCTGAGTTTGACTCTATCAGCATTGATCTTGCTGAGTTGGTTTCTATGGTATGTCTTAATTTTCTCTCTTCAAATTACATAAACTGGTATTGTTCTATCTGTTAATTGCTGAGGCATACTAGAAATGGGCTATAGATATATGTCTTCACTCCTTTTCATTACATCCTATGTCGCAGAGATAGGTCTGCTTAGCAAACTTGGTTATCTTTGAAATGCAGATTGATCAGTAGCATACCTTTGCCCCTGTTCTATTATAATCCATCTGCAACTGTTTAAGCTTATATTATTTGGTGCTTTCTTTCAAATGATATAGAAAATGTGAAATATTGCAGACTGTGGCAGTGGTTTATTCCATTAGCCGGCAATAGCAAAATTAGTTATGCATTACTACTGATTTTATTTTTTTATTTGAACCGACACATGTCAGGTTTCATTTATGTTGCATATTTCCATTTTCTGCATTTTTCTGGCAAGTTTTGCCATGATGTAATGTTTCAAGTATCGCTAGAAAAATTATGTTTCTTATAATAAGAGTCCATTGTGTTATGCTTCTTGCTCAGGAACTTGGTGTTAATACCAGAAGAATGCACACTGGTGAAGGCACGAATGAACCACGTCCTGCTGTTGTAACAGTAATGGGACATGTTGACCATGGTAAAACATCACTTTTGGATGCTCTCCGTCAAACATCTGTTGCTGCCAAGGAAGCTGGTGGTATCACTCAGCATATAGGTGCCTTCGTTGTTGAGATGCCTTCAGGAGCATCTATCACATTTCTTGATACTCCAGGACATGCTGCCTTTAGTGCCATGCGGGCTAGAGGTGCTGCTGTTACAGATATTGTAGTCCTTGTGGTTGCAGCAGATGATGGTGTTATGCCTCAGACACTGGAAGCTATGTCTCATGCAAAAGCATCAAATGTTCCTATTGTAGTTGCAATAAACAAATGTGACAAATCTGGAGCTGATCCTGAGAGGGTCAGAATTCAACTTGGTTCAGAAGGTTTACTTTTGGAGGATATGGGTGGGGATGTGCAGGTTGTTGAAATCTCTGCAGTAGCAAAATCTGGTTTGGATAAATTGGAAGAGGCTTTACTCCTTCAAGCTGAGATGATGGACCTGAAAGCCAGAATAGATGGCCCTGCTCAGGCTTTTGTGGTGGAGGCAAGGGTGGACAGGGGCAGGGGTCCACTGGCAACAGCTATAGTCAAGTATGGCACATTAGTTAGTGGGCAACACATTGTTGTGGGGGCAGAGTGGGGGAGAATTAGGTCTCTTAGAGACACAGCAGGGAATATAACGCAGTCTGCAAAACCTGCAATGCCTATTGAGATTGAGGGGTTAAGGGGCCTTCCAATGGCTGGGGATGATGTTGTAGTTGTTGATTCAGAGGAAAGGGCAAGAATGCTTAGTCATGGGCGGAAGAAGCAGCAGGAGAAAGACAGGCTTCGAAAGATTGATGAAGGCATGGCAGAGGAGCTAGAAATTAAAGAAGAGACTCCTGAAAGAGTTGAAATGCCCATTATTGTCAAAGCTGATGTACAAGGCAGTGTTCAAGCTGTCACAGATGCTTTACGAAGTCTTAATAGTGCACAGGTATTTTCTCGTAGAGATTTAATGCCCTATTTCCTTCTTCTGGAGTTAGTGTCACACAATATGACACTATCCCGTTCTTAAGTTAAACTCCCAAGTGGCAGTTGTGAATCTCTTGCTGGTTATTCTGTTTACATCATGCCATCTTTTTTTTGATTATAAGTTTGTAAGTTAATACATAGTACGTCCTCTGCAGGTGTTCGTGAATGTTGTTCATGTAGGTGTTGGCCCAATCAGTGAGCATGACATTGATCTGGCACAAGCATGTGGAGCATATATAGTTGGTTTCAACATTCGCAGTCCACCTAGTACTATCACTCAAGCAGCAGCAAGAGCCAACATAAAGGTACCATGTTCATGAATCACTACTTTCCTAATGCTAGTTGTGATTATATGCTTCAAGAAACTTTGTTTTGTTTCTTTGAGTTCTATGCTATCATTGAGTTTCAGACTTTCAGTGCGTCTTTGGCTAAGTGTTCCATCCATTTTGGAAAATAGAACTTTAGTTAATCTTACATGGAAATTTCTTTCTGGATTTGAATAATAGCCTGAGCTTCAAATCTGCTTGCTTCTTGTTGTATTGCTTCAGCACCTCATATGCATTTATTCTAACATTAACTCGAGTCTTCCCCAGAAAACATACTTCATTTCTAATCAGTATCATTTCACAAAGAAGCAATTATCTGTTGAAGTATTGCAAATCTGGTTTGCTATTGTTGGTCACATCATGTGTTGCTTTGATTGTCGTGAAATGGGATCCAACCTGTTGGTCTCGTTGTATTTCCATTTGCTGAAGTATCAACGACCACTATATACACACTACTGGAGTTCCACGGACTGATTTAATTTGTTTGTATATGCTCAGTTGTAATCTTTGTATAATCTGAGTGAATGGATTTAGCTGACATGATAATGTTTATTCTTTAGGTTTTGCTTCACAAGGTCATCTATCACCTCCTTGAGGAAATGGGAAGGGCCATTGTGGAGAAGGCACCGGGAACTGCTGAAACCCAGGTTTCAGGTGAGGCTGAGGTTCTGAACATATTTGAGCTGAAAGGGCGCAGCAAGTCAAAAGGATCGGATATCAAAATTGCTGGTTGCCGTATAACTGATGGCCACTTCAGCAAATCTGGAACCATGAGACTGTTGAGGAGCGGAGATGTCGTCTTTGAGGGTCCATGTGCGTCCCTGAAGCGGGAGAAGCAGGATGCAGAGACAATCGAAAAGGGTAACGACTGTGGACTGGTGATTCAGGATTGTGATGATTTCCAGGTAGGGGATATCATACAGTGCTTGGAGCAGGTGATTAGGAAGCCCAAGTTCATCTCGACGCAGAGTGGTTCGGTTCGGATTGAATGCTGATATAGTAATCGTTGTGGCTGACACTGTTCCATTTTCTATTAATTCAGCTAGTTGTGCTGAACTGACCAAAGGTTTCGAGTGTAACAAGATTTTGTTCGCTAGCAACTTGTTGCAACTGCAACCAAAATCCTTTCTAAACTCTGATATGAGATAATTAGGACAAACAACCGAATTTAGTTGCCTTTGTAGTCTTTTGTGTCACGTCTTCATCATAAAGATAAGTGGATTGTATATTCCATCTCATAATTTATCCAAAATTATGTCATGTGAATGCAAAGTATTTGCTATTGTAATCGCTACACCATTCAGTTTTCCACATTATGGATTCAGATTAAATCTGTTTCTATGTAAAACAATGTATGCGGTATTGCTTGTGCAGTCGTGCCCCTCTTTCTGAAAACACTGTCAACTCAACCATATGTTGAAGGTGCATCTATCTATAACTAGAATGTTGTATCGTGTTGGAATAGGTCATCAAAATTGCACTTGTTACTATCGGTTGAAAACGCTAGTTTCATGGGTGCAGTAAGTATTTTCATCTGCTGTCCGGATTTATCCAATTTCGAAGGAAACCGTTATTTCCTCTGCTGTTTTCGGCTACAGAGAATTTGGGACATGCATTTGGAGACGGTCAGATGGATGATTTCATCAACCAAGAAAGAATATTTCATTGCCAGCTGTTCCCACATGAACACAGGATGAAAGATTTCTGGGTGATATAGCATGATCTTGATCACTGCGTGACTGCAACAGTCCTAGCCTGCTCTAGAATCCTGACCAGTGGTCTGCTGCTGCATCTCCGCCCTTCGTCCAGCGGCGTGTTTCCCCACCTGCATGCAGCCATGTTATTGCGTCAAAGAATGTATTCCATTTAGCAAAAAAGAAAAAAAGAAAAGAAAATAAATCTCGCAGATTTTCTACGGGAATCGCATAATTACTGCTACGCACCTGTCTTTGGCCAGAACATCTGCTCCGAAGTCTACGAGCATGCCGGCGACGAGGTGCAGGCCCTCGGCAGCAGCGACGTGGAGCGGCGTCCTCTGATCGTAGTTCTTGCAGTTGGGGTCGACGCCGAACCTGAGCAGCCTCTTGAGCAGGACGATCTTGCCGTCCGTGACGACCCTGCACAGGTACCCTCCGGCATCTTCTAGATTCAGGGCTGCACCGTGCTTCACTAGGAGAGAGGTGATCCTCTCATGGCCTGATTTCAGTGCTAGAGCAATGGTGAATTCCCAAACTTATCTGCAGTTTCAGATACGGCTGTTTATCATAGGATGTACAGGTAAAAGAATGTGTACAAAACATTTTTCCTGCATACCTATGCTGTTGACATTGGCTCCCCGCTGAATTAGGAACCTGACGATATCTTCATATCCTCTTAACGCAGCAACATGCTGTAAGGAGAAATTTTGGTAAGTCGACTATTTTTTTCCTAAAATTACATATATTTTTACTTTTACACTTGGTTTTATCCGCAAAAGAAGGAAGTAATTTAAGCTATGCTAGTTGCTAGCCAAGCTAGCCCATATCTTCAGAAAGAAAAATGTGCTTCATGTTGCAGTATGAATAGTAATTACAGTATGGGAGAGTTCACATACCAGCGCAGTCCTTCCGTCGTGATCGGGTTTACTCGGATCTGCTCCTGCACTGATCAGTCCCTTCAGACGGAACAAATCTCCACGGTAAGCGGCATTGTTCACTCCAAGGACCAGCTCTGCTTCTTGCCTTGATATCAGGTACGTGATATCTGATTCCAGCTGCTTCCCCTTGGACTCGGTTGCTCGCCCCTACAGAACAATTTGTTTTAAGCTAAATTTTGGCCCGGGCTGCGAAAAAACATTACTCTCTTTGATTGACATGCTTACCTTGAGTAGGTTGCTCAAGATCTGACGGCTATCCTTGAAGTAAATCTTCAGGATGCTGGTCAGGGACTGCTTGTCGATTCTCAGGAGGCTACAAAGCTCACAGACCCTGACTGTGTGTGGCTGTGGAACGTTGCAGACTACAGAGACATCGCCGATGATGTCATAGGGCAGAAGCGCTGAGATGATCTCCTCTGATCCACCTTCTCCAGTGGCCACCTCTTCCTGCAACAGTCGCAAACGGGGGTATATAGGATATTAGGATGACTGAAGGTTAGTTGTTTTTGCTTATGCAGTGGTGCAGCTCAGTTCTGTTTTCTCATAATTCATGTATTTTTTTTTCTTGAAAAATGACAATAGAATTATGGGCGTAAAAGTTCTGTTGACAAATCATACCAAACATCCGTGTGCCACAATATAAATTTGATCCACCACAGTGCCTTGCTCTAAAATAACCTCCCCAGGGAGGAAGAATTCTTCATGTAACTTTACCACCTGAAGGGATCATGTAAGGATTTGAATGGAATACTATGCGTGTTCTATTCTATTTTGTATTACAAATGAAAGAAGCTTCTGCTACATTTGCAAATAAATCTTACAATCTGGCTAAGGAAGTCTTCCGAGCATCCATTGAACAGGTGCACTCTTGAAACCATGTCCAGATACAGTGTCTGGGACATCTGCAAAACAAAATACAAGTTCAATATTTTCAAATGAAGCTCTCTTGGTCTTGGCCATATATACCTGGTACGAAGAGTGGATAGATACCTTGGATCGCACAGAGACCGGGATGTCGTCAACGACTCTGTCCCTGGTGTAGCTGCTCTCGTACTGCAGCAGCAGGTGATCCTTCACCTGTGACCTGATACCGGCGCCCAGCTTGTTCCTGTTCATGTACCTGATGAGGTCGGTCATCTTGTCCCGGAACCTCTCGGTCTTGGATCCCTTCACGATGAGCGCTGTCATGTTGCCGATGAGATAGGCGCTGAGGAGGATGCTGAAGGAGATGTACACCACGGTGAAGGCCATCTCCCTCGGGTTCACCGCATGGACATCGCCGTAACCGACCGTGGCCATGGTGACGATGGCGAGGTAGAGCGAGGTGACGTAGCGGGTGAGCAGGTCCATCTCCCTGAAGCTGATGTACCTGGTGTCCCCCAGCGTGAGGCTGCCGATCCAGGTGCCGCCCTCGCGCGCCGGCGGCTGCGTGGTGGCGAGGTAGTAGAAGACGCAGGCGGCGGTGTGCGTGAAGTGGAGGTCGACGGTGATGAGCTTCACGATCCGCGTGAAGAGGTAGCTGATGCGGATGTCCTTCTCCGTCCGCTTGAAGAAGGCCAGGATGTTGCGGGCCCTGTACAGGCGCAGCCACACCAGGCACCGCACCATCTCCGTTCTTCCCGTCGCCTTGTATATGAAGTCCCATGGGAAGCAGCCGAGGATGTCAAGAGCGAAGCTTCCTTTGATGTAGCTGCAAGAACACCGGCAGAATCAATTACGGTTTGAAAGAAATAATGGTAAATGGTGTGAGAGGGCCAGAGCAACCGGCCGGCCGGCCTGCCTCACCGCAGCGCGATCTTGCGCTTGTCGTACACCATCCGGTAGGTGTGGGCGTCCCTGTAGGCGAGGAAGAATTGGACGGCGACGTCGGCGAGGAAGACGAGCTGCACGCACTCGAGGTCCAGCAGGTGCTCCGGGAGGCCCCGGAAGAAGCCGAACTCGAAGGGGGTGAAGAAGGTGGAATAGATGGACCACAGGAACATCGCGCTCGACCAGATCCTGTACCACCTGTGTGCAGCAGAGCAGAATAGCAGATAGAGATAGATCAGGCAGCTAAGCTAATATATCAAGAACACTGGCATCATTGGACGAGCTAGTACGCCCGAATGAAAGTGAAATGCAACGGTAGGCAGCTACCCTCCACTGCATGATTCCTGTCTTAATCAGGAACAGCTCATTCCATGCACAAGTTCGTTCTCTGATTGGCTGGCTGCCCAATATACGTGCAATTAGAGACTTGCTTCTGCATGCATCGGCAGCTTCATCTTATGCTACCTAGCTACCTAGCATCGTCATCAGCTGAACTGAACTGATGAGATGAGAGAATGAGAAGAAGAACTCTCTTAATCTGTTACATACCTTCCATTAGGGTGTATGACGAAGCTGCCATAGCAGCAGTTCTGTGGAAGCCTCAGGGCGCTGCTGTTGTGCCAGCTGCTTCTCCTCGACTTGAGCAAGAGATCCATCAGGTAGACATGTCTGCTTAGTAAGGTTCTAGTGCTACTGCTAGTAGCCTGCTCTGTACAGGGTCAGATACATGAACCAAATCATTGCTTGTTCAAAACTGAAAATTGTAAGGTGAACATGACATACAAATACATACTGTGAGTAGTAAGATTGTCCACCTTAGCCAAGGGTTTCACCGGTGCTACTCCACCCATGGACCAATGAACAAAAATTATTAGTACTGCAAACCTGAAAATAATCAAATACATAGTGTGAGTCTGAGAAAGAACATAAGTTTAGAAAATAGCCCGCAAAAAAGACAAACTAAGGCAAGCAAGAAGTAAAAGTTTACTCTGAAACCGTCCAAGATACAAATCAAATTCCATAATGTAAGCAACAGAATTTTATTAGAAACTAGAAATGAAACAGAGATCCTCTTCATTCATGTGACCAAATGCACATGTAAACCTACAAGGCTATGTGCAGTCAGAGAGCGCATCACTATCATTTTTGGTTCACAGATCAGATGTATGGTTCTGACAGAATTATTCTTAAGCAACTGACCATATAATATAATCCTAGAAAACCTAACAAAACCGTCAATGAAAATAAACCAGCTTCGGCCCCTAGCCCCAAATCACATACATGAATCTTTGTAATTGACAGGTAGATCCTCCCTAGAGGATCAATGATTTATTGTTCCAGCTAATCCCATAAGGCCTAGACAAACTTAGGCATGAGTACATGGCTAGACCTAGCCGACGTCACTGAACCACTATTGCTGTAAAAGGTGCATATTACTCCCGAAAAAAAGAAAATCAACAATCCAATATCTTCCATGCTGCCTGTCTAAATTGAAATTATGGTTTCCTTTATTCATTACAGTGACAGGACTCAGGAATTGGTTTATTCTCGAATCTTGCATCTGTAGTATTACCACTAATCAAAAGGAGGTATGTTGTATAGTTATTCACATGCATCTAGAAGCTGAATTTACTGCACAAGAAGCTGATATCTAGAATCAACAATCTATAGGCCAGGAAGCTGCTGGGCACAAGAATTCATAATAATCCAAAATGCATATTGCTTATCAATTTACTGCATGATGTTATTGCTATGCGAATCTGATGAGGAAATCTGGGTGGGTATGAACTGCTGCTAAGGAAACGTGATCATAAAATCCAAACCAAATCATCATAGAAAAGAAAACCAGCTCTGGCCGTAGCTGGCTCATACCAACCACAATCGATAATCGACATCAAGGTCTGTCTACTCTTCTCTATAGGAACGGTGGGCTCTGGTTTCTTGCTCCAACGAATCCATGAACCCAAGACAAAACCACCAGGGCAGCAGACTAGACAAAAAAGCTCAAAAATCCCCCGCCACCGCTGAATCGATAGAACCCCTAACCACCACGGGCGATGCCTGGTTGGATCTTACAGAAACCAGAGAGAGAGAGAGAGAGAGAAAGAAGGATCCGTACGATGATGAGGTCGATGAGGTAAGGGAGGGCGTTGACCACCGGGATCAGGAAGAGCAGCAGCAGGCACGCGACGCATACCTGGCCAAGCACATCCACCACGACGTTAGTATAGCACCGGGATCTGCAGGGAGGGGAGGGGAGGGGAGGGGAGGGGAGAGGGAGAACTGAGCACCTCACCATATCGTCGGATCGGATCGGAAGCTGGAGGATGGATCGGCCTCCTTGTCTTTGACCCCGTTGCTTGCACCGATTCGTCTCCTAGCTCCTCGTCGTCGTAGTCGTCGGGGCGCGGTGGTCGCTGATCCGTGCGATGAGAATGTGACTGGGGACAAAGACTGGAGAGGAGAGGAGAGGAGGGACAAAGGAGACAACGGGATCTGCTCGGTCGTCGGCGTGGAGGTGGTGGCGCCGGATCCAGCCGCCTGGGGGCGCGCCCGCCATGGATTTGGCCGAATCCGGGGGTGAAGGAGAGGGGCCGCGCCCGTCGCGTCGATGAAGAGGGAGAGGGAGGAGAGGGAGTGGCGGCGCTGCTCGGGGAGGGGAGGAGCCCCCACGTTGAGTCGCAGAGGGAGGGGCGCGGCGCTGAGTCGCAGAGGGAGGGGCGTGCTGAAAGGAGAGAGTGAGGGAGGGGGCGCGGTCTAGTGCGTGCGTGAGAGGTTGTTTGGGGGCGCGGCGGCTGGCGGGTTAGGGTTAGGATTTTTGTGTGCGTGTACATATTTTTTCTATGTGTTTTTAAAGAACCGACATAATAAATTATATTTTTCTGTGAGTACTGATTTTTTCCGTGTGTATATTGTCACGCACAGAAAAATTATACGATTTTTCTGTGGGTTTTAGTATTTTTCTGTCGGGATATTTTGGAACCGACAGAAAAATCGTAATTTTTCTGTGCGTACCGAAAAAAACACATAGAAAAATTTATCACCCACAGAAAAATGCGAGATTCCAGCAGTGCATGATGCCTCCTCTTGTTCGCATTCTCTCTCTCTACACTCTCTTATTACCGCTGCTTTCGCGTCTCTCTGTGCAGTGCCATGCAAGTCCAGAACGCCACACACATAAGGCATATATATATGTGGCCGTGTGAATGTGGCCCTGCCACTTGTGGTTGTTAATAACGTTTGCACAAGGAGCAACTGGCAGTTGGGTCATTGGGTGCTGCACAGACGACAGACGGCACTAGCCAGCCACCAGCATTCGGCACAAGGTTTGTTGGGGGCTGGGGATGGATGGCCGCCGGCCGGGAGACTCCACACTCCAGTTGCAGCACATGTCGTCTACTCGTCTCTCGTCACCTCATCTCCTCACCTTTGAAACGCTTAAAAACCCCTGTGCAGCGCATGGCATGGCATGGCGCACTCAGGCGCCAACCGGCCGCAGGCCCCCCTTTTTCAGCCCTCTTTCCTCCGGCCGGCGGTGCAGTTTCTCAGATTGTCCGTTTCCACGGCGTGCTGACATGGATGACCATTTTAAAAGCTCAAGTGTCCTTGAAGCTCTATCACCCCGAGTGCGCTCGAGCCGCTAGCTAGCTAGGCCCTTTTGCTGAATGTGCCTGCCGTATATATGTCTCTCTTGCTACAAGTTGCGGTGCAGAAATTAAATTCAAGTTTGCTTGTGCGATGTATGTATGTCGTCACTTTGTATATAGTTGTAGGCAGCTACTAGCTACGTATTTGACATGCATGCCCACAGTTGATGGTTGCTGCTGCTTGCTGCAACACTGCAATGGCCATCTCAAAACTTTATGCATCATGCATGTAGCCAAGTCACTTTATCTAGGCTTTACCTGCATTGCAGCGCAAGGACAAGTCAAATATTCATATCCTGCAGGGATCAGTATCAGCTGATTTCGGGCAGCTTACTTCTTTTTGCAGGCAGAAGCGTGCTTCAGGAATCCGGCAGTCCGTTTGGATATCAGCTCAGGCATCGTTTATTTGGGACACGGGAAAATCGCCGGAATTTGACATGACATGCGTTCCAAACAGCACCGTGTACCTTTTGATCGAGGCATTGCCGAATTCCCATGAACAAATTTGGCGGCGACCAAGCTAGCAACAGTTAATGCGAAATTTGCCTAACTGACATACTGGAACTCAGCCAAACTCATCATCTGTGGCCTGTGGGCTAGCTGCGGCGAATTGAACGAAGAACCAGCAAAATTCCAAGTGAATTTCGAGAACAGATTCAGCATCTAGGGCAGTTTCCGGTCGGTAACAACAAGCTGGTCAAAGCTCAATCAAAGGGAAGGTCAGTCGCTGTCAGGGTATATCTTGCTAGTGCGCATCCTGCGTGTCGTCTTCAGAGCTCATAGTACCTCCTGTGATGCCACTGAACCCTCTTTGGCTCTTTGGCCCACACAAGATTAAGGAAGATCAAAATTAAAGGTGGTATTGAGTAGTGACACCACAGGATGAGCCGATTAGTGTAGTGCTTTCACTAATCTGACCTTTTTTTTGAGGTACTAACCTGACCTTTTACGTTGACACATGAATGGATATCAAATTAGAAGGCTGACTAGAAGTCCAAACTAACCTTCCCATAACTCGCGACATAACACATATGTTAACATAAGATATAAATGCATGAGTGGTACATCAACTTGCGCTCTAGTTTCACTTAGGTCCATTAACTTTGAAAGTGGATTTTTGGGTCCATAATCTTTGTATAGGCGCATGAATGACCCATACCCCTTTGTTTCAATTTTTTAACCGACGTGGCTGTCCATCGTGGCGTCCAGGTTGGATTTGGCGGGAGAGCATCGGCCGCCCAGTCCATGCTGCTGGCCTCGGGGAGTCCCAGCTTCTTGAGCATCTCCTGCAGCTCAGCGGCGGAGATGAAGCCGTCGCCGTCGACGTCGAAGACCTTGAACACCTCTCGCATCTCCTGCTCGTCCTCCTCGCCACCCTTGCCACCGTCCGCCCCGGCGGCGGCGGCGTCGTCCTGCTGGTCCACGAGCTCGCCGAAGAAGGCGTCCCCAAACGCCGCCCGCAGCGCGCTGTACGCAATCGGCGGCAGCCAGGTGATGATGGTGCCCTAGTCCATGATGGAGCCCGCGGAGAACATGGAGGGGGCCACGTCGAGCCGCCGTCCGGCCACGGTGATGGCCTGCAGGATCACGACGTAGAAGGTGGGGATTTTTCTGAACTCTTCTACGGATCTGCGACACCAGAGACTGCGCGCCGCCGCCAATCCCGAGGATCCCGTCTGTCCGGTCAGGGTCGGAGAAGCCCGGCTCGGAGTGGCTGCAGCCGAATGTGAAGCCGCCGCTGACCACGCCGCCGGAGCCGGAGGAGGTCATCGTGAGGGTGTCGGAGCTGTACGTGCCGGTGGTGCTGGAGCCGTCAGTGTAGTTGACGGCGTAGCCGCACTGACCGCCTCTGGAGCAGCCACTGGCGTACTGAGCACCGAGCCGCGCGCAGGCAGGGGAGCCGCAAGGGATGGAGGCGAAGGTGGACGACTTGCTCGGGTCGAAGACGGCGTCCTTCTGTCGGTGGCACGGTGGCACGGGGCAAGGACGGCACTGGACCCAGGAGAGGTCGGAGCCCGTGTCAATGAGCACGGTCTGGTGGACCGCCGGCGTGCCTAGACCCACGGTGACGACGTACTCCAGCGTGTTCACTGATCGAGGTTCCAAGCGCGGTTGGGACCGTCACGTCGTCGACGACCTCCACCGCCCTTCGGAGGATGTCGTCGACGCGGAGTTGGTCCCTGCGGAGAACAATAAGGCTGCTGGCCAACGTCGTGGAGGTCCGTCGTCTACTCCTCCTTCTGCTCCCGGCGGAGTGGGACGACGACGACGGCGAGCACAGGCCGTGCCGGTGGTGCAACGGCAACCACGTGACGTTGGAGGGCGGAGACGCTGCATGCATTCGTGCGAGTCGATCATCACAGCCAAGTTAGTTACAACAATTTGAAGGAGGAGTGCGAGCTTCCAATAGCTAGCTAGCAGCATTCTTAGCCCTGAGTCCGGAGCAGACGCCGCGTTGCTTGAGCGAGTCTCCATGGCGAACTTCTGCGTGAGCAACCGCAGAGTAGTAACTGGCTGAGGGTAGGAGGACGAGTAAAATGGGCAAGACGGGTACCATTGCCATTGGTCGTCTCGGTCACTTGACTGATATGGTCACTTGACTGAGGGTACGAGAACGCTGGCACGAACTCTATATATCCAAGCTGCATGCCTGCATGCCGCCGACACATCTGTCGGCGTGACGCGTGTCTACGGGATCAATCGCACGTTGCCAGAGGCCGGCTCGTCGGCAGGTCTTCACGCCACACGTGGCAGGTGAAATTTTTGCATTTTGGTCCCTTTTGAAAATATTTTTTACAAAAAGACCTATGCCATGCTGAAAGTAGACAATTTTTAGGCGTCTTAGAACATGACGCCAAGGTATGAGGGTCGGCGTCGTGTCCACGTCACGGACGACCCCGGTCGACGGCGACACGGTGGCGCATGGGGCCCAGTACGTCGGCGTCGTGTCAGCCAACGCCACAGGCCCAACCTCGGCGCTGTGGGGAGTCACGCCGAGCTCTTGGCACCATCCGGCGCGCGGCCCAGGCGGCCCAACAACGCTTCGTGGCCCAATAGCTCGGCGCGGGGTCACTTAACGCCGAGCCACCAGACTCGGTGCGGCCCGACTCAACGCCGAGGTCTGGACTCTTGAAGCCGCGCCGCGGCCCCCTTCTTCTTCCTCCCTCCATTTAGAAGACTGCAATTAGGCCCCCTTCTATCCGAAGACTGCAATTTATGAAATAACGAATGCACAATGATTACACTCACATCAAAACTAACAATGGCATGTCGCAAACTAAAACTAGCATGCCTTAGGGGATTGAAAGAAACAAGTGATACAGACGTTGCAAAGGTACTACGATTACACACTCACATGAAAACTAACAATGGCATGTTGCAAACTAAACCTAGCATGCCTTAGGAGATTGAAAAGAACAACTCATACAGCTGTGTAACCCTGCTCTCTCGCTGTGCAGCCCTGGCGCCGGCGTCAGCCTTGCGCCCGCCCATGCCGAGACGACCGATTTTTTTATTTTTTAGTTCTTTTTTCAAAAGTTTCTCACAAAAATGCCCCTGGAGGTATGATTTCAAAATCTTGACCTTTAGCTCGGCGCCATCGTTGGTGGCGCCAAGCTTGACGCCACTAACAACGGCGCCAAGCTGGCTGCTTTAACCCCGCTCCCAACATTCCTGTCCGAGCCTTATTCCCCTTCTTTCTCCTATAAGTGCACCGTAGAGATAGATTCCGTAGTAGTATGAGCTGATTTTTTTCAATCCTAACTACAAACTATCATGACTTGGACACCCTAAAATTTTACCATGAGATGATAATGTCAAATTTGGTTGCATTTTTACTATGAGATGGATATGTAATTTGAATTTTTACCATGGCAATGCCATATTGAATTTTATTGTGACTTGGATATGTTACAATCTGTCTAAATCTGTGATTTTACCATGAGATGGACATATGTATATTTACCACGAGATGGTCTGATTTTTTACCGTGGCTAAGTCCAAACTTGACGAGACTTATTTTGTTGTCATATCCTCAGAGAGTACTCAAACTCGTAGTAAGGTATTAAATTGAGTTGCTATACAAATTTGGAAGATAAAATATCGCAAACATGTCAATTCACTGCTACAAAATAGCACTGTATTCAAACTTGTGGTCACTATTTGGCCATGTTAAAAACTGATTTAGGTTTAGGTCCAAAAACAAAATTTGTTGTACTCAACTCAAACTACAACTTCTATTAAAGGTCAAACTTTATATCTAGAAAAGAAACTATAGTTTTACTGTGGTCAAAACTGCATCATGAAAAAGGGTGTTAACTATTGATCCAACACTTAGAAACATTTTTAGGCTCGTTCATCAACATGAACCCTAGATCATTTTTTATCCTAAGTATTTCTATGTTGTTTTAAGTGCTCAAATATCAAGTCAGTGTAAAACTCTAGAGTTAGCCACATTTCTCAATATCCAAGTCATGGTAAGATTTTAAATTTGTCAATGTCCAAGTCATGGTAAAATTCTAGTCTCTAAGTCATAGCAAAAATTCAGACAGCCATTTTTGCATATGTCTGTCCCACGGTAAAAATCAAATTTAACAATGTCCAAGTCATGGTAAAAATCCAGCATGTCCATCTCATGGTAAATTTAATGACTTAGCCAAATTCTAAGTTGCCCATCTTATGGTAAATTTAGAGAAATTGAGAGGTCGGCGCCATGACCTATGGCGCCGAGACGAGACGTTACCTCGGCTTACCGTAATCCCGCAACAGGCTAGGCAGCGGGCATGCACTACCTCCGGTAGCATCGTCTCTGCCGCTCTGAATGGTCTCCCGGCACCCGCAGACGAACATGCCATGTCTCCATCACTAGTGGAATGAAACCGATCGAGCTGCATGCATGCTTCTCTGATCTCATGAATCGTGATGCGTGGAGTGGGGTTTTGACCGAACCTCGGTGTTGAGTCGGGCCGCGCCGAGGTTAGCGTCTCGGCGTCATCTGATTGCACGCCGACCTCTTCGCCCACGAAGCGTTGTTGGGCCGCCTAGGCCGCGCGCCGGATGATGCCAAGAGCTCGGCGTGACTCTCCACAGCGCCGAATTTAGGCCTGTGGCGTTGGCTGACACGACGCCGACGTAGTGGGCCCCATGCGCCACCGTGTCGCCGTCGACCGGGGTCGTCCGTGATGTGGACACGACGCCGACCCTCATACCTTGGCGTCATGTTCTAAGACGCCTAAAAATGGTCTATTTTCAGCAAACGTTTTGGCATAGGTCTTTTTGTAAAAAAATATTTTCAAAAGGGACCAAAATGCAAAAATTTCACCACGTAGCAGCAGCTCTCACGATTGACTCGTTGATCATCTCTCAAGAATCACCCATCACTCATCGATTACATATGGGCACATAACATGTGTTCGCAATCTCCGCCGGGTCAGCAGATCCCGGCGGGCGTTGAGGATGCGCGCGGCCTCGGCGTAGGCCCCGCGCTCGGCTGCGGCCCGCGCCAGAGCCATGTCCTCCGCCGCCTCCACGCGCGCGCGCTCCCGCTCGACCTCCATGGACGGCGCCACTTCCGCCGCCTCCAATGGCCGCAGGACCACGGCGTCCTCGCCGGCCACGTCAACTGACTTCCCGGTCGCGGTGTCGAGGTAGGCGCACGGTGCACCTGACTTTGAATAGGCGTGTGGCCACCTCGTCGATGGAGTAGGCCCACGGCACGTCAGGAAGCGCCTCTCCTCGTCCGCGTAGAGCTCGCCGACGTCCACCGTGGCGTCGATGCGGATCTCGTAGCTGCCGGACTTGACCTCCTGGACACGCACTCCGGGGTGCACTACTGGATTCAGGTTCTTTGCTGAGTGCCTAAGGCACTCGGCAAAGGCCAAATTGTACTCGGCAAAGCCTTTGTCGAGTGCGGCACTCGGCAAAGAACACACGACAAAAAATTGACCGGCAAAGCCCTCTTTGCCGAGAGCCCGGGGGCACTCGGCAAAGAAAAGCGACCGTCACAGCGCCAGCCCCGTTGATGGTCTCTTTGCCGAGTGCCAACCCTGCAGGCACTCGACAAGGATTTTTTATTTTTTTTAAAAAAAAATTCTTTGCCGAGTGCCCCTGGCCGGCCCTCGGCAAAGTTTGAATTTGCCGAGTGCCCTCTGGTTGGCACTCGGCAAAGTTTGATTTTTTTTAAATTTCTTTGCCGAGTGCCCTCTGACTGGCACTCGGCAAAGTTTGATTTTTTTTAAAAAAAAATTCTTTGCCGAGTGCCCTCTGTCTGGCACTCGGCAAAGTTTGAATTTTTTTTTAAAAATCTTTGCCGAGTGCCATGGTCATGGCACTCGGCAAAGGTGGAAAAACGGTTTTTCGAGCGCCCATTTTTCCAGCTTTGCCGAGTGCTGTGACCATGACACTCCACAACGGGGTCCTTTACCGAGTGCAACACTCGGCAAAGTGACCCAAAACGGCAATTTTTGATTTTTTTTACATTCCATTATGACAAATAAATTTATACAAACATGTATCACATATATATCTTATCCATCACATATATATCTCATCCATCCACACATCCATCCATACATATCACATCCATCACAATATATATCACATATATAATAATAAGTGCTCAAGTCCATCCAAATAAATCCACAAGTCCATCAAAGTCCACAAGTGCATCACAAGTATATCACAAGTCCATCACCAAGTGAACAACAAACGAAAAAAATACAACGTGCACTCATCTCGGGCGCTGCGACTGTGGTAAAGGCCCAGCTCCATCATTCGGAGGTGCATGAGGTGGATTATTCGAACCACCGTCAGATGAAGACTACACAAAGGAGTAAAGATTGCATGTGAGACAAGATTATTTGGATAACTAATCTAGGAAGGTAGAGGCCATACAAGCAAAGCACAAGCGAAAGTAAAAAACTTTCATACTCATAGGAGTAGCTGCAACTGCAGGACGTGGAGGCAGAGGTGGAACCAACAGCCCAGCTGACAGAGAGAAGCCCACACGTTGCCCAAGCCCTTGTAGGAACTCCATAATGTCCGTCATCCTCTGCGCCTGGGCCTGCCGCTCGGTCCGCTCGGCGTCCAGCTGGGCCGCCAGCTCCTGACGTTGCCTCATTTCTTGTTCCAGCCAGGCCTGCAATATTTCACTCCAATGTTTCAGTAATGCAAAGCTAATTAAGGTGTGTAAAGATCAATGTATGACGAGTAAAACAGGAATAACCTCGAGTACGTCGACCCGGTGCTGTGCAGCGGTCGACCGTGTGTGAATGGCTGGGCTCTCGCTCGTGCTCCGTGCTTGGATCTAGGAGAGAGAGGGAGTAGAGGCCGTGTCGATGACACCGTCGCCAAGCCAGAACCGCCCATGCTTCTTGCCTTGCCCCGCCCTCATAACGGCCTCTCCATCGAAGTCCTAGGTGCTCGGATCGTGGTTTGACCCATGGAGTGGACGCTCGGGTTCGTGTATGCCTCGGGCAGGTCCTCCAGGTTGAAGGAGACATCGGACGTCGCCTTGCCCTTGTGGGCCATACACCATGCCTGGAAGTCCGAGCAAGCCTGGCCACTATGTGACGCCGACTGCGAGAAAGACAGCACGATGATTAGAAATCAGGCAGAACTGAGCGTCACAATAGATAAATGAATTCGCGTA